TGGAAGCATATATTATTTATTTATCCAACCACAACAAAACTCATTCAAGTTTTTTATCCTTTGATTTTGAGTAATTTGAACTTTAAAGTTTTTTAGTAACCTCATGATAAGTTAGCCGTAGTTGACGGGCACAGGAGCAATAAATCAATAATGAAAGACTTACCAAAATTGTTTGAATTACTGTGACTTAAGAAGCATCTAGGCTGTAACTTTGTAATTTTAAAGGTATTTTCAGCATGTTTTATACAGATCAAGAAAGATTTTAAACTGTATTAATTTTCTATTAAAATACAACAACTTTCTAATTTCACCTCTATTTAATACACACACCTTTAAAAAAAAATGTCAATATTGTAATAAATGAAGGATAAAATTGTAAATCTATACCAAAGATTTAATGAAGTAATTTATAAATAAGACCAAGAAAAATCTTCTCTCTTTACCTTATAAACAAAACTAAAGTAGTAGTATGTAACCCCAGTCCCCGAGGTGAGTTGGCTCCTGTATTAGGGATAAAGGGCATCTCCTTAAGGGACATACCTTGCAATTTGTCTTTTTTTACGTTATATGCATAGGTATATATCTTTATATTAGAAGTAATTATGTTTAGGGAATGGCCAAATATTAAACGTGAGCATGTCTCTTAGTAAGAATTTGATTATGGAAAGCTAGATTATAACCACAAAAACATAATTTTCCAGAACACATATTAACAATTTATTTTCTCCAAATAATATTGAATAGTTTCTTTCATGAACTATTGTTCCTTGCGTGGAAAATTTAAAAGTCGGGACAAATAGTAGCAAAAAAGTTGGAATCCCATTCCACACGTTGAGACTGGTAATGTGGTTGTTTATTAGTCTATAATCAACTTACATCCAAACACCTATAAAATGAACACATTAATTTTCTTTGTTGTCGTTATCCTATCACTTCTATTTTCTTTTTTCTAGAGACTTTATTATATGTATATCTTTGCGTTCTTGACGGGTATAAGAGTATAAAGTCGATGGTGAAAGCCTTGAATAAAAGTGAATACATTGCCCTTTTTAATACGCTCAATAATAAAAGAATTTTCCGCATGCATACTCTCTCCAATCTATAATATAAGTCCCTTATAGAAGAATTGTTTGGTCCAAAAATATAAATCACTTAGAGAGTAATTAATATGCTTATTCGTTGATTTTGTCCTTACAATTAATGCTTAGATGTAACTTTTTATATATTTTTCTCTCTTCTTCACACAATCTCATTTAACATAGGTAAAGTTGAAAAAAAAGTTTCATTTTGAAACAAATTTAATGAGTTAACTATTATTATTACTTTTATTTCAACGAAGTAGTTAAAGTAACTTGTACTATGGATCGAAGAAAATACTATAACAACTTTTTCTCTAGTCTGTTTGGCCAAAAAAAAAAAACTTTTTCTCTAGTCTCTTTTATTAGTTATTCAAATGTGGAAAATTTGAAAGTTGGGACCAAAGTCACATATGGCTGTTAATTAGCCCCTAGTCAACTTCTTGGAAACAATATGTATATAGAATGGCCCACGACAATAATTTTCAATATTCACCATTTTCCTATCACTTTATTTTTCATTTCTTTTTCCTATAAATAGTGCAATTCTGATACATTTTATTACTACATTGAATATTGATAATTGTGATGTGCTTATGATAATAGTGGTAAATAGAATTACATGTTGGCGAGGTACTTAGATTTCATGTTGAAATTATTTATACTTTGGCGGTATTCGAAACATAAAAGGATTAACTAAATAATTTGAACATCTCTCAAACATATAAGTTTCCTTAAATATAGATAGGGTTTGCTTGTTACTCATACTTGGAAGATTTTCAAGCAAGAAATAATTTGGACTCGATGGATGAAAATAAATTAAATTTCCTTTTCAAGATAAAAAAATTTCTCTTGTTCATTGATTAGATGACTAACTTTTCTACAAAACAAGATGTATTCAACAGGCACTTCCCAACCTAATAACACGGCAAGTTAAGAAAATAATAGAGAACGTCCCATCCACATCAATTAATGAGATGATGGGCCATTAGTCTAACTTGAAAAAGCTTGGGTTATAACTTTGTTACTATCTCCCCAGTTATTAATAAAAAATTCAGTTAAATTATTTGGAGATATTAATAAGAAATAGAAATCGATAAATTGCCTTAAAGTATTTATCTTTATCTTTTTTTCTAAACTAATTTTTCACTCTTATAAATTGATATATATATATAATCTAATAATACACGTAAATATTTTAAAGAGATTGTGTAACATATGCTATAATTAAGCAATCTAATAACTTTTTTAATCCCTCCAAATTAATCAATTGGATTTTATATTATGGACCGGAGGTAGTATATTATATAACTTGTGCGTGCATTATCAATTGGGAGATAATTATGTCATTCGAAAATGTTCTTTTTTTGGTTTTCCAGACCAAATTTTAACATATATATTAAATATCTGAAATCCGACAGCAATAATTTTAATTTAAATATTCCTTGTAGCTCCACAATCTATGCCACAACTTTCTAGAAAAAAAAATAGTTGGGAGCACATATTATTTATCCAATCATTAAAAAAATTCATTCAAGTCATTTTTATCCTTTTGAGTAATTTAAAACTTTAAAGTTTTTTTATAGCAAAATTTGAAAAACTATGGTGGTTGGATGGAACCTTATGAATTTTATGATTGTATCTATATGTTTGTCGTAGTTGACGGACAACAACATTAAGTCAATAATGAAAGACTTAAAAAAAAGTTGAATATGTTTTGAGAATCACCCCGACTATAACTTTGCGATTTTAACACGCCCACACATAATAACTCAACTACGAAATTTTTCCCACTTTATACGTATAAGTGTCTTCTTACTAGAAACAATCCTATTTGAAATATGATGGACGAATTCAATTATGAAAGACTTATAACTACAAAACATAATTTTCCACCGCACATACATTAGCAATTTATTTTGTCCAAAGAAAAATAGTCTCTTCCATGAACTGTTATTGTGCGGAAAAATTATTAAATTAATAATCGCTAGGCACAAAAATAATAGCAAGGAAGTTGGAATTCCATTCCATACTTTGCCACTAATCATGTGGTTGTTTATTAGTCTATAACAATAAACTTATATGCAAACACCTATAGAATGAGCACATTAATTAATTTTCTTTTTCATCATTATCCTGTCAATTTTATTTTCTCTTATTTTGACTAGTCTCTAATCAACTCCATACAAACAAATATGGATAGAATGGCCCACAATAATTTTCTATCTTCAACCATTAATTCCATCACTTTTGATGAAATAATTCTTTTGGTGATGTAATTAAATGTTAGTTAGATTTAGCAGAAAGGGCTAGTTTCTTACAATATAACGAACTAAGATTCTAATCTCTATTAGAAAATATACTCATTTAATACCTGACAATACTTTGAATATGATTGCTTCCAATAGGAAAATGTTTGTGTCTACAAAAAAAATGCTTTGTTGACATTGGTTATATTCTGACATATGTAAAAATAAAAGGATTGACTACATAATTTGATCATTCTTCTGAACAAGAAAAAATTAAACACCTTCTGTGCGTGTGTGCGGAGGATCTATTTGTTACTCTTACATATAGAAGGTTTCCAAGAAAAAATTAACTATGTGGCCTCGATGGATGAAATTAATTTTCCTTTTCAATAAATAAAAAAATTATACTACCTTCGGTTTTAACTATAAGACCTTATTTGTAGATTATAAACAAGATTTTATAATTAGGACATAAGGTAGTATAAATAAAATTTCTTATATTTTTAATCTTTATTTCTCTTATTTATTACCTAAATTTTACATTACAGGACGTATTCAATAGGTAGAACCCAACTTGAACAACGCGGCAGGTTAGAAAATAACAAAGGACCCATTATATCGCTCAATTAAATGATGGGCCATTTTTCTAACCACCAATATTCATGGAAAAAATATTCTAGCCACTAATACATAATAACGATCAAGTGGCTTAAAAAACAATTATTTAGAGTTTTTCGTAGTTTCTTAATTTATGCATTATGTTTTTTTTTAAATAAGAAAAACTTTCTGCAAGAAAATAATTATGGCACTATATATAAATAACCAGCAACTTTCTGCAATAAAATTCATGTTCTTTAAGCCTCTGAGTAATTTTTATTTTAAAACTTTTTTTTTGCAAATTAAAAAAATTACATACCTTAGTTGACCAGCACACGAGTAGACTTATTGGTCCCAAAAAAAGGGTGACAACTGTGGAACCTTCCTGTTTTTTTTCTTTGAACCTTAGAACACGCACGTTTACCTAAATACCTTTATTGTCATTGATGATTTTAATATCTTCATGTAATAATTAGAGAATAAAAGAATTATTTCCGCAGGTTATTTAAATGTGTATTAAATTCTTTTTATTTTAGCACTCTAAAATAAAAGGGTTTAATAAAGAATTTGAAAATATTTTATAACAGGTAAAAAGTTATCCTTAAATAAACTCCTTGCACGATGAAAAATGAAGTTAAAAAGAAAAGTTTTTCGTGTATTAAAAAAAAAATCGAAAGTGACATTATAAATACTAGCCACTCTCTTCTCCAAGAGTTACATGTCCATCGAAGCACAAAAAAATTGTTAGCAAAAACTCTTTGGTTGACGTAGTCATGGATGGTTCTTGCAATATCGTCGTGGTTGTTTTTCTTTGGTTACTTACCTTATCAAATGTTGATTTATGCATTTGCAGAACATCTTATGAGGTTCAGTGCCTTCCAAGTGAGCGAGATGCCTTACTTAAGATGAAGAGTCGTCTCTCAGATCCTTCAAATAGGCTCGCCTCTTGGTCTCTCCATGCAAATTGCTGCAGCTGGGTTTCAGTTGTTTGCCACAACATCACAGGCCATGTTCTTGAGCTCCACCTCACGACTCCACCTCCTTTACAGTTCAATGGCGATGATTTTATGAGACATTAATGTTTGGTGGTGAGGTACATTCTTCTTTGCTTGACCTGAAGCATTTGAATTATTTGGATTTGAGCAGTAATAATTTTGGAGGCATTCAAATACCTGGTTTTCTTGGCTCAATGACAAGCTTGACATATCTTAACCTATCTAATGCTCGATTTGCTGGAAGCATTCCTCTTCAGTTTTGGAATCTTTCCAATCTGATCTATCTTGACCTTGGAGGCAATTATTTGGAAGGAAGCATTCCTCATCAAATTGGAAATCTCTCCAATTTACAATATCTTGATGTCGGAGTTAATGAATTTAATGGAAGCATTCCTCGTCAAATTGGAAATCTCTCCAATTTGCAATATCTTGATCTCGGAGTTAATGAATTTAATGGAAGCATTCCTCGTCAAATTGGAAATCTCTCCAATTTGCAATATCTTGATCTTGGATATAATCAGTTTGGTGGAAGCATCCCCCATCAAATTGGAAACCTCTCAAATCTAATCAATCTTCATCTCGGATATGTTGAAAACCTTCAATGGGTTTCAGCTCTTTCTTCTCTTCAGCATCTTGAGCTGATTGATTTAAACCTATCCAACACCTTTGACTGGTTGCAGGATCTAGATTCACTTCCTTCCCTGAGAGAGTTGCACTTGTTAGGATGTGATTTGAACCATCATTTTGAACCATCAACCTTAAACTTTTCATCTTTAGCCATCCTTCATCTTTCTGATTCTGAATTGGGCACTTCATTGATTCCAAATTGGGTATTTCAACTGAAAAGATTAGTTCATCTTCAATAAACAGTAATGGTTTTCAAGGTCCCATCCCAGTTAGTATTCAAAACTTAACTCTCCTTCAACATCTTGATTTATCTGACAATCAGTTCAACTCTTCTCTTCCTGATTGGTTGTACAGTTTTAGTCATTTAAAGTCCCTCATTCTCTCTCAAAACTACTTGGTTGGCGCAATTTCTATGAATGTTGGAAACTTGACTTCTCTTGTTACTCTTGATTTAAATGGAAATCTTTTAGAAGGATCGATTCCAACTTCTATGGGAAATCTTTGCAACTTGAAAAAACTGGATATTTCAAACATGAAGTGCAACCAACAAATTTCTCAAATATTAAAAATTCTTTCAGAAAGATGTGTTTCTCATGCACTAGAGATTTTTTATATGAGTGATTCTCAATTATCTGGCCATCTCACTGACCAAATTGGTCTTCTTAAAATCTTGTTCAACTTGATCTTTCTCAAAACTCCATTCAAGGTGCACTTCCTGACTCATTAGGAAACATTAAGTCTTTGATATATCTTGATCTTTGGAACAACACTTTCAAAAGTGCAATTCCTATATCATTTGGAAATCTAACATCTTTGATGTATCTTGATCTCTATGAAAATCAACTTGAAGGAAATCCTTTCAAAATTCTAGGATCACTCTGTAAATTGAATTTCCTTAGTTTGGGACATAATCTTTTCAAGGAGTTGTCAAAGAAGCCCACCTTGTTAATTTTACCCACTTGCAAGAATTATGGGTACGAAAAAACCAACTCAATTTAAAAGTGGACCCTAATTGGGATCCTCCTTTCCAACTTTTGGAGAGTTAAATTTGGCTTCTTGGAATTTGGTCCTCACTTTCCATCATGGATTCAATCACTAAAGCATCTTCGATATTTGGACATCTCCGACAACAAGATTCGTGATTCAATTCCAACTTGGTTTTGGGGCACAACTGGAAATCTCGACTATTTGAATCTCTCCCACAATCATATTGAAGGAGAGCTTTCGAATACACTGATAAACTGTTCTTTGGAAGTATTGTTGATCTAAGCTCAAATAAGTTACATGGCCAATTACCGTATGTATCACAAAATGTGGTATTCTTAGACCTCTCAAGCAACTGGTTTTCAGGATCCATTACTCACTTTTTGTGTCATAAACAAGAGGAGATGGGTTAGCTTTTCTTAATTTGGCATCAAATAATTTATCAGGTAAAGTACCTGATTGCTGGGCGAGGTGGCCATATATTGTGGAAGTGAACTTAGGAAACAACCATTTCACTAGAATTTTACAGACATCCATGTCATCCTTGCCACTATTGGAAATGTTGAACCTTCGCAACAATAGTTTTTCTGGAAATTTACCGAGTTTTTTGAAGAATGGAAGTAGCCTGGTTTCCTTGGATCTGGGAGAGAATCAATTTTCAGGAATGATTCCATCTTGGGTTGGACAAAGTTTATCAAATTTGAAGATTCTTGTTTTGAGATCAAACAAATTTTCTGGTCCAATTCCTCATCAAATTTGCAACATGAGTGTCTTACAAATCTTGGACCTGCGCATAACGAGTTGACAGGATATATTCCAAAATGTGTCAACCATTTGAGTGCCATGTTGGTAATAAATAATAGTTTAGAGTCATACATTTATTTTCCAATATAGTGGTGGTCAATTGTTAGTTGAACCATTATTACTTAAAGAAAAGGTTTATGATTACAGCTCCAACCTTGGTCTCATCACTAGCATCGACTTGTCAAATAATGAATTATCTGGAGAGATACCAACAGAACTTACAGGACTTAAGGGACTTCATTTTTGAACCTTTCAAATAATCATTTTGTTGGCCAAATTCCTCAAAATATTGGCAATATGAAATCACTGGAGACTATGGACTTCTCAAGAAACCATCTTACAGGTGAAATCCCGCCAAGCATGTCGAAATTGAGCTTTCTGAGCATGCTGAACTTGTCTTACAATAATTTGATGGGAAAAATTCCAACAGGGACCCAAATACAAAGCTTTGAAGCATCAAGTTTTGTTGGCAATTATGATTTATGTGGTCCTCCACTCAATAATTGTTCATCAAACAGCTCCAGCAACAAAGAAGAAGAAGTCCATCATGTGAAAGGAATCAATTGGTTCTTTGTCAGCATGGCATTTGGATTTATTGTGGGGTTCTGGGCAGTGGTGGGTCCTTTGCTCTATAGTAGTTCATGGAGTATGCTTATTTCCAATTCATTGATCGCATGTGGTATAAACTGCAATACCGTTGCTGCTGGTGAAAGCAAACTAGGCCAGATTTGCATTGGAAGGTTGGTGTTTGTAGAAGATAAGTGATTTATCTCTCTTTTAATCATATTATGCTTTCAATAATGATGTTGTAATTGATGAATAAACTCATTTACAAGGATTGTGTGGTTCAACTTTGAAGGTCATACATATGATATATTTGTTATGATGAAAGAGTTGTGCTCATAATAGATGCATTACAGATAAAACTAAGCAATACGTAATTATCTGTCTATTTCATTAATTATCTTCAAAAAAGTACCATTAAAGATATAATGTCTACACTTTAAAGACCAAACTATAATATCATGCATAAAACTCTATTTAATCTTTGCTTGTTTTGATTTCATACAAAGCTTAATCACTGATTAGCATTTGTTAAAAACTAGATTCAATGCATTGTCTTTGAGGAAGCAATACTCCATCTTACAAAACCTGTAACCATCAATAATCAAGTTCAACCCAAATAATAAAAACAGAGAGAAAGAAAAAAGAACTTTGTTTGCCCAAGAAATAGAATAGGAGATTTTATGATACCAAAGTCCTTTAGAAGGGCACTGTCAATAAAATGTCATTTACAACATTTTGCTTAAACAACTTTGTTATGAAGGAGCATGAATACATAAGCTTAAACAACTTATGGCAAATCAATTAAACAAATGCATCACAATCAACAAAATGATCTAACTGACTAATAACAAGAAAGACGGAAGGGTGGAAAATCATTACAGGACCCAAAAAAATGTGGGTCAAAGGGCCAAGTATATAAGATAACTCAGTAGAAATTTTTTGCATTAGCATGCATACCCACGCCTTTGCTAATTAAGAATGGAACATTATTTGCTGTCATGTATATTTCCTTGATGCTCTGTTTTCTAGGATCACTTGCTATCATTTACGACTGAGTGTTTACCTAGTAAGATTGTCCTGCTAATTTCCCAGTATGATTAGGTCTCTTAAGGTTTCTATCATTCTTACTGAACATTGAGACAAATATCCTACATTTTACACACACGCTATATAAATATCTCAATATGATTTTGAATATGTGCACGCAAGTTTAAAGCAAAACTTGCATGTCCTACCCTTGCTCATTAGCTAGAGCAGTCTTAGCACTACACAGAAAAGCAGCATCTATATTGTAGTCCTCTTTAGCAGATGTCTCGAAGTAAGGAATATTTCCTTTTGACGCACACCAATCCAATGCTTTCTTCTCAGATAATGAGTTTGATACCTGTTATAACATATATATAGGTGTTAGGAAGGATGATAGTTTGAAAAAAAGATCACGAGTTTAATTACTCCTCCTACAAGATTTTTCTTTTTGAAAAATATATTTGTATTAAAAAAAGGCTATGAAAAAACTTCAAAACACATCACCGTCTGCTTACGACTCGACTATTTCCCCCATCAATATCAACCTTGTTACAAGCAATATAAATGATTATATCAATATAAATTATAGTAATTTAAATTTATATTATTCGGTGATAAAAAAAATTCTATATATTATGAGCCAACAAGGATTTTTTTTCTTGCCAATATTGTAAGATGTAGCAAGAGCAATAATAATAGTTGTAAAATTCCATTGTAACTACCAGAAGTGAGTTTTAATTAATTTTCTTTTATCATATCATACATTTAAGAATTAAGTCTTGCGAGCTGAGGTGATAACTCTAAATAGTTAAGTCGTCGTAAATTTCTTATATTATAACTTGTGTATGCATTATATTAGAGTCGAGAATTAATATAATAAAAGATCAGAAATGTGATCGTAATAATTTTAAATATTCCTTGAAGCTCCACAACCCAAGCGGCAACTTTCTAGAAGAAAATAGTTGGGACCATGTATTATTTATCCAATCATAACAGAATTCATTCAGGTTTTTGAGCGTTTGGAATTTGGAGAAATTAATTTGAATTTTTAAAGTTTTTTTCTTTCAAAATTTGAAAAATCATGATGCTTGGATGTGAACTTCTTATGAATTTTATGATTGCATCTATATCTATTTGCCATAGTTGACGGAAACAAAAGCTGATAATAAGTCAATGACGACGAAAGACTAAAAAGATTAAAAGGTTGAATTATGACAGAAAAAGGCTCTTGATCGTAACTCTGCCGATTTTAACATGCAAAAAATATGACTTAATAGAAAAAGACTTTTTATCTCAGAAAAATTATGAAAGATTTTTTGTTAACTATAGGTGAGTATTTTTCTATTGAAAGTAATTTATTTGAGGTACGACCAGATATTAAACATTAAAACATAAGTATCTCTCAATAAGGATTCAATTATGAAAAGTTAGTTTACAAAACCAAAAACATAATTTTCCAAAAACACAAAAATTTATTTTCTCCAAATAATGAATAGTTTCTTTCATGAACTATTCTTGTGTGGAAAACTTAAAAGTTGGGTCAAAAATAATAGCAAAGTTGGAATCCCATTCCACACGTTGGGAATAATGTGGTTGTTTGTTAATCTATGATCAACTTACATACAAACACCTATGAAATGACCTCATTAATTTACTTTGTTGTCTGATTATCCTATCAATTCTATTTTCTTTTTTCTAGAGACTTGATATCTTTTTGGCCTCTCACCTAGAGACTTGATTTTATGTAATCTTGCGTTCTTGACGGGTTGTAAGAGTACAAAGTCAATGGTGAAAGACTTTAATAACAGTTAAATACTTTGCTCTTTTAATACACACAATAATAAAAGGATTTTCCAAA